CAGCCCCTGCTCCGCTCCGCTCACGCGGCCTGTGCCCTCGCGATAAAAACAAATCGTATGCGAGAAGGCTCTGTGTGTCCTGCCAGCACTACCATCGTTGAGAGGCCTGTCCAAGGCCATCCGTGGAGCGGAGATAGCCGGCGTGGTGGTCGGCGTGGCACTACGACTGCGGTCGCTCCGCTTCAAAAACGTGGACGTGATGGCCACGCCGAGGTGATCATGCAAGCTCTTGACCTTGAATGGCCGAAACGTGATGCTGGCTCTTGACTTGTCTAATACTTGTCTACTAGTTGGCTTAAACCTCCTAGTACTGGAAGCCCAAATGGGGACACTTTGGGGACACATCACTCAAATGCCTATTTACCGCACTGTTAGTCACCGTAGGCTCCGCTGTGTGCAACGCGCGTGAGAACCCTCGGCCTATCGTCTTGGCTGAGGTGGTACGCTGTGCGATATGCTGTATGATACCTCTCCTTGGCCTCTGACTTGCTGTACACATCTCCCAACCCGCGTGCCCCCTAGGTCGTTAAACTGTACATCGCCTGGTACTGGAAGAAGTGCTCACTCGGCTTCAGTATGAAAAGTGTCCCCTCGTGTGTTGGAGACACTTGTCACACTGGAGCCAAGTCACCCTTTGTTTGACGAGGAGCTCAGATGCTTTGAAGGGACTGTAGCCCACCGACCACGGACTGACAATAAACAATTTGCGACACTTTTTTTTTTGTGGATGCACTGGGTGCTAGGAGGGTCAAGAGAAGCGTTCGTGTTGATGCTACCTGGGAGACTGAACTGGTGTTGAAGAGGGGTTGCTGGGTTGTCGTCCGTGACATGGTTTTACCTGAGGATTATGTCACCTTACTTGTTCGAGAGGGCGTGTGAAAAGTTGTTGGGCGTGTGTACTGATCGATTGATAATTATGATCGTGCTCGTCACACGAACGAGGGTTGGAAAATAAAATCGATACGACGAAAGTTAAACTTGGGGACCACAGCCTCAAAGATTGGTTCGTACCGCGACACAAGTTATTGTTTTTTGCTTAATTTATCATGTCGCTATTAGTCTTCCCCTACTACCCCGACCGTCTTTCCTCTCTCACGGGACACCAACTGCTTTGTTCAAGGGAACATCAGTAACAAACTAATCTACGCGCATACCTTCATGTATTCAACGAAAGAAGGTCCTGCATGCACCCTTTCGCTCAGGTGCTGTCAAGCGCCCCTTGCGGTCATCGAATGCCCATGAAACCTCACCCGCTACTTTGTAACACCCGAACAAACGGGTTTTGGCGATGGTCAGTTGAAAGCTGGGGGTAAAAGCCTTACGTTGGTGCTGCTCGGGCCACTGAGCTCGACTGAATACGTCAGGATGTCCAGCACAGCACTTCGATTACCCCCCCCCCCCACCCCCCCCCAC